GATGATCTCAGCAGTTCTGTCCTCTCAGTACCCCTCAGGCGAAGGGTGCTCAGGCAGTGTCTTCGCTGCAGAGAAGAGCTCGCATCTGGGCTTATTTCAGGTGTTGGCTTTCTGAGTAATTCCCTTGGCATGCACCAGAGCAGCTGTGCTCAGGCATTTCATGAATGGTTTTTAAAATAAGGGGTGGGTCAAAGCATTCCTAGTTTAAGAGAGAAGAAAGCGACCTTGCCGTCCTCCTCAGCCCCACAGCAATTCTCGTTGGGTTCCTTTATGGTCACAGAGGTGGCAGTTCTGGGGTGTGGCCACCCACAGGGGGAGGTTAAAAGAGGGATTTTTGCAGGTAATGCCCCCCAGGGAGCCCCCATCCATTTATCCAGTAAATGTTCATTGGGAGTTCCTGCCTAGGGACGGGAGTCTCTGTGGACACGACCTTGAAGACCAGCTACCCACGGGTTCTAAATGGGCTTTTACAGCTGAGACCCCAGGCTCAGGGCTTTTCTCAAAGGTTTTCTATGCCAACCTACGGCCGCCAGCAAACCTCAGACCCTGACCAAGTGCCAGTCCTTCCCTGCTCCCCAGACTCCAGCAGTGTTTGCTTTCGGAAGTTGCTCTGAACAGGGACTATTTGACACCAGTAAATAACTGCTTTTGGGGGGGTGGGGTGGGCAGGTGAGCCACAGGAAGTTTTGTTTTTTTTTTAAGAAAGGAACAGTAAACTTAGGCCTCAAGAAATTTCCAAGGATGTCCCATATAGTCCTTACAGGAAATACCCTATAATTTTCCCTGCTTTCCTGCCAGTTTTCCCCACTTTTTATTTTAATGAAGGAGGCTTGCCGTGATCTCATGTACACGCTCATCTGTTGAACATTTTTTCCATGTTGTTATTTGGAGACGGGCTTTCCTTGCAGACTTTCCACCCACACGTGTGGTCATTTGAAACTGGCTGTCCAGATGGTCTCCATGGGCAGCGGGGTCTGTGACACCAGGAAGCAACCTCTGGCCTCAGTGGCCGAGACACCAAGAGCAGCACAGACCCCCAACCCCACCCTCCATCATGGGCCTGAAGTCACATGCACAGGCATGGGGTGGGGGTGGGGGCTGGAGGGTGTCCGACTCTCAGTATCTTCATTATTATGCCAGACTGTGAAGAACGTTCTGTGTCACCCATGGTCACCCTGCATGAAGGCCACTTAGAGCCTGGGCAGCCCTGGGGGAGGTGGCCTGGACTGAGGAGCAGTAAAACCTGCATGGCTGGCGAGCGGCCTTGGACCACCTGGGAACTGAGAACCGCAGGGGCCCCTCCTGGCTCTGTGCTCTGGAAACCTTGTGGGTGAAGCCTGCCATGCTTTTAGGGGAGTGACTGTGAACGTGAGCTTCCTGCAGGACTGTTTCTGGGCCCCAGGTCATGGCTAGGACCCCCCTTCCTGTTGAATCCTGAATGCCGTTGGCTCAGGCTAAGGGCTCTGGGGCACAGTCCCCCCGGGACCGCAGGGACATGAAGAGGCTTCTTTTTTTTTAAAGATTTTTTTTTATTGGGGAATTGGGGGGATGGAAACAGTGCTGGGGAATTGGGGAAGGGGAACAGACAAGTTGCTGTCCTTTTGTTCATCAGTCTAGTTGTGGAGGACGTTGCTTCACTGGCCCAAGTTGGCACCATCATTGCGCTCTTCCCGGGCGAGGCAGATCAGTCGCCGGCTTCTGGACGGCCGCTCACGGCGGCTGCTGGCCGCTCACGCTGGCTGCTGGCTACACACGGTAGCCCATGGCAACCCACTGCCACAGTGGCTGCAGCCTACGCCGTTGCTGGCGACTCAGGGCAGCCCAGCTCCAGGTTGAGCTGCTGTTCAGCATCTTAGCTGTAGAGGGCAGTGTCACTGGCCCGCATATGTGGGATCTGAACCGGGGCCCTCTGGCGTCCCAAACGAGTTCTTAACCATCGCGCCACTCGGCCGGCTGAAGAGGCTTCTTGTCATGACCTCTAGACCTTTTCCTTTCTGAGCAAGATAAGAAACGGCAAACATTAAGCACTAGGAGTGTCAGTCTTGGTGCGGTGTGTGGACTCGTGGCCCCCTTTCCTCTGCCCCTTGTGTCACCTGCCTCCCGGTGCCTCAGTTGTCTCGCCTGTGAAGGACAATAGTGGCGCCCACCTCGCTGTGAGGACTAAGTCAGCGTTAGGAAAGGGCCCTGCATGCCATCCGTGCCCAGTGGGTGTTAGCTGTGGCCGGGGTTTTACTCCTTCCAGCAAGAATAAGGACCGTAACGCTTGACTTGATAAATGCATCAGAGAAGGGGACCGAGGAGAAAGGACCGACACAGAGGGGGCTGCTCCCCCAGGAGCAGGGAAAGGGCCAGTCCTTCCTCCCTTCCTTTCCGCACTCTGGCCCTCCCCACCCCTCCCACCAACACCTGCCCCTTCCCATTGGAGCCCATCCCTGGGCCCCACATGGGGTGGGGCGGCCCCCATGTCCTTCCCGCTCATGGGCAGAGTCCTTACAGAGCCCATCTGGTCTGGCTGTAGGTTCAGGGGGTGCCTCCTGTGCAGAGCGAGGATTCCAGGCTCTGGCAAGGGGGCCGGTCCCACAGCTGTACTGAGTCTGAGACGGGGCCAGGTTCTGCGTGTCACGTGGGCTGGAGGGAGAGCTGGCGCAGAACCCCACCTGATACCAGAGCCACCCCCTCTGAACCCACAGGCAGATGTTCCCTGGCCTGGCACTGGCTGGGGAGGGGACAAGGCCAGGCGACTACCAGAGCCCCCCGCCCCATACTCCTCCCCTCCTTGAGGCTGCAGACTCCAACCCTGCGTTTGCCCAACTTAGTCCCTGGATGCTGGTTTGGGGTTCTGGGAGGGCAGAGGAAGAAGGGGAGAATTGTATTGGGAGAAGACCCCTATCAGGGGACACAATTAGAATGAAGGGTCTGGGCCATGTGGGGGGACAGCGGCCACGGTCAGGCAGAGCCGGGCACTCTTCAGACAGAGCTCAGCCTTGGGGGTTCAGGCAGAGGCCCAGTGCCCAGCAGAAGGAGAGGGAGCAGGAGGAGAAGTGGGACATAAGGGGGCCTGAAGGTGCGCCGGGAAAACAGTGATGGCTGGAAGGAAGCCAGATAAACCAGAGCTGGGCAGCTGGCCTCAGCCTGCCGCGCACTGGCCCAGGTGTGCCCTGAGCCTCTCCTGCCCAGGGTCTGTGGGGGGGTAGGGGAGCGTGATAACTTGGGGGCTGAGACTTCTCAGGCCATTCAGTGCTGCCCTCTGTAGGGTTTCACCAGCCTGTCTGCACATGGCACTGCGTGTGGCTGTGTGCTATATGTCCCCTCATCACCAGCCCTCACCCCAGGAGCCTGGGTCGTTCACTCTCTTCCCCTCCCCCTGCCAGGCAGCGAACACTGAGCCCAGTGGGCAGGCAGCCGCCCTGGCCAGCTGGTCCCCGTCCCTGCCAAGCCGACATCCTAGAGGGGAGACAGACGATAGCAAACAGGTAGACCAGATAATTTCAGAGCGTGGGAAGAGACACCAGCATGACAAACAGAACAATAAACAGGACGACAGGGTGAGGAAGGTTGGCGGTTGGAATAATAACACTTTGGCCTGAGCGTTACTATATTCCTCGGCCGGAGATGTGCAGGACGCATTAGTGGTGAAGTCTGTTTCATCACCTGACAATTTGCATGCCTAAAGCTCAAAATGCAGGCGATTGTACGAATATTTGAATACTCTTCTTAGCTATGGCATTTGAGGCAAGACCCCTTAATTAACTTGATTTTGGGGGAGGGTATTTGGGGAGGGAACGTTTAGGCAGGGACATATTACTGGCCTGGGAGAAGGCCCCTCCCCCACCCCTCTCACCCCTGCATCTGTGCACACATGCATGCACACAGATCCTCCCCCACCCCCCCAGGGCTGACAACCACCCAGCAAACACAGGTTTGTTCCTGCCAGAGCTCACCCTGCCTTCTGGAGTGTTCCATGGACGCGCCCCGAGCACAGAGGCACAGCACAATTCAATAGATCCCGCTGCCCTGTTTCCCTCTGAGAAATGCATTCGTTCTGTTGTCTTCTGTGTTCATTCCATGAATAATGCCAGCTTTTTGCAGAAACATCAGAAAAAATATGGGAAAACAATAAGTGAATAGTGCTCTAACCCGTCTACTTAGATATTCAGAAATTTCCTGCCATTATCCTTACACGTGAACAGACAGACATTCCTAGTTAGGGTGGCTGCCGCTATGATCTGAATGTTGTGTCCCCCCAATTCCTATGTTGGAATCTAACCCCTGATGTGAAGGTGTTTGGGAGGGGGACTTTGGGAGGGGATCTGGTCGCCAGGGTGCAGCCCTCAGGAATGGGACTAGTGCCCCTATAAAGGGGACCCCCCAGAGCTCCCTCGCCCTTTCCACCGTGTGAGGACGGTTGGAAGGCACCGTCTGTAACCCAGGAAGTCCTCACCAGACACTGAACCTGCCAGCATCTTGACCTTCAACTTCCCAGCCTCCAGAAATGTAAGAAATAAATGTGTGCTATTTATAAGCCACCCAGCTCTGGCTGTTATGTGTTACAGCAGCCCGAACGGACTGAAATGCTGCCTAACACATTACCCCCAGAGCTCAGTGGCAGAAAACTTTGGATCAGGAAAGGGATTTGGCCTGTCACAATGCGGATGGTTATATCTCTGTGATGCCCGGGGCCCGGCCGGAAGCCTGGGAGGTGTCTGAAGGCCCTTCCCTCACGTGGCCAGAGGTTGGTGCTGGCTTCTGCAAGGGTCCGTGCTTTCTCACAGCCTGGAGGCTGTGTTCTGAGGGCAGGTGTCCCGAGGGGTGGAAAGAGCCATGCGAGAACAGCTTCTGTGACCTGGTGCCAGGTTCAAGGATGGGAGCGAGGGACCCCACCTCCGATTAGTCCTGGAAGAGCGTGCAGGACCACAAGTGCTGCTCTGGCCATTTGGGAAAATACAGTCTGCCACATTCAACTTTTAAAATCATTTCATACTACACATACTTTTTTGTAGACGTGAACATTGGGGTGTAACAGTCACACAGTGGAGGACTCTAACCCCGCGTGCAGCTCAGTGATTTGAGAACGGAGACTCTTGTGTCCCCACCGCCAGATCTACAAGGAGAGCATTCCAGCAGCCAGAGGGTCCCGGCGCCCCTTACTCTCTACCTGACGTCTGTCACCAAAGGTGAACTTTTTCACCCTGCATTTTCCCTAAATGTATTATCAATGGATTCCCGCACCAGTCTTCACTTTGGATGGCTTCATGGGTTCACAGAGTTTTGGAAATAGTCATACTTTGTTTAACCAGTAACCTGGGGCTGGACCTTTAGGGGTTAGTTCTACGATTTCTGCCAAGGAGAATGGAATGGTTCTGGGCGAGGACCTGCTAAAGGCACCGTTACCTGCGGCCTACCTCCTGGAAACAGCCGGATGCCTTCCCCCCAGCCCTGGACTTTTGGGGGGAACTTTACGGGGCAACCAGACAGCCCTGGTTATGAGTAGAGAGGGGCCCCTTGGCCAAGTGGGTTGACCCAGAAGAATTTATTTCTCTGTCACCATTCGAACATCTGTGTCATTGAACCGCAGGCCCCAGAGGCGGAACACATGCGTTTACATTGCATCTTGCTGCTCCCGCTTTTCCGCGCCAAGGAGTGGATGGCATTGGCCACCGGCCTGTGTCATTGTCACATCACTGAAGCTGAAACGTACTTTGTAACTAGGGAGCATCAGCTTGGTCTGTGGACCGTCATGGTCAGATAGATCGAAGTGTTTCCTAGGAGGTGTCCTCTCATTTGTCCACAGTAATCCAAGAGGATGAAGGGAAGGGAAAGAGAGCTCCTGAAGAAGAGGGAGGAAGAGGGGACCTGGCATGAGGAGGAGGAGACCACTGGCCTTATTTTGCCAGGAGGGTTTGTGGTCATATAGCACCATGTTAGGTTTACAAATAATGACACCAGCGGCCACTGGTGCTCAAACACAGGATGCAGACTCTCTGCCTGCAAGTTATTTTTTCTAAGGAAAATGAAACTCCAAAAATATTTGCACTGACTTTTAAGAAAACGTTTCTGTTCGCGTCACCCATTTTTAGCTACATTCCTCATTTGTAGTCGAGTTTGGATTCTTCTTTTTAAAGTTTAAATAGGAATGGAAGCCATCCACTAAAGTCGAGGCCAAGATTAGAGAAAACATCTTGTAAATGGAAGGAAGACACTAAATGGGAAGACAGCCCCTCTCCTCATTTAAATGGCATCCCAGGCAGCCCCTCAGGAGGACCCCTCCTGATCACCTGCCCCCCACCATGGGCAGGAATGGAGGGTGCAGTCTCAGGGCTGCTGTCTTTGAGACACAGGGCCCCGATGCCTGGCAGGGCCAGGGGATCCCTCCAGGATGGGATGCGAACATCTCACCGGCTGGCGTGTTCCCCGGGGCAGCAGTGGTAGGTGACAGAGAGCCTGCCGATTTCCATCCTGACCCCAGGCCTTGCAGACTTGCGAGAAGGGCGCCAGCTGGCAGACACACAGAGCGATGGGTCCCAGTTACCTTCTGGAGCTGGAAGAAGAGCAGGAGAGACTGCCTTTGGGGTCCACCGACTGGAGCAGCTGACTTGCCAGGTGGTGGCTGCACCCCTGTCCCCTGCCCGACACTGAGGGGCCACCAGCCTGCCGGAGACACCTCAGTGTGGGCACGCCTGCTGCTTCATCCTGAGCCCAGCAGAGGCTCGCCCACGAGCCCCTCAGAGCCTTCCTTTCTGCCCAGCTGTAGGGTGGCTCCAGGGAGGGAACACGCAGAGAGGAGAGAACGGCGTGCTGGCCTGGACTCGGGAGTGGAGAGGCCGGGGCCGCAGGCTCGGCCCCTTCTGGCCAGATACCCGCCGTCTAGTCTCTGCTCTGCGCGGGGCCAGCACCCCCTCTTGGCCGCAGACCCCACTACTTGGCCGCTTAGGGCAGCCCTCCAGCAGGCCTCCCTCTCCAGGTCCAGCCATTTCTAACTCCCTCCTGGGTTGTGTCCGCCAGCTGGAAACACATGGCCCCTTCTCCTTTTTCATGTCATCAAGACCAGTGTCAAACAAAAAAATCTTTCTGTGACTCACTTTCCCTGCAGTTACTGCCCCACCCCCTCCTTTTGCGGGGAAATTCCTGGAGGAGTTGTCTACACCTGCTGCCTCCAATTCTCCTTCTGTGCTCTCTGGAAGGCACAAGTGGGTGCTGTCCTCCACGGCTGACCCACTGCTCAGTCCCGTCCACTCATGTTCTCTCAGTGACCCGGGCCCAGCCATCATCCCCCCGTGCACTTTCCTCAGGGCCCTTCCCTTGTTCCGTCTCTGCCTCATCTCCCCCGGGAGGGCCCACGATGTCCTCAGCTTCTGGTGTTCATCAGCACTCCCTCGCTTAGTGAGCCCATCGGTCTCCTGGCCTTGAATGTTACGACTCCCAAGTGTATCTCCCACTGGCCTCTCCTTCTGCACCCACCGGGCCACTCAGCTCTCCAGCACGGAGTCCAGAAGCAGCTCGGACCCAGTGTATCCAGAGCTGACCGTCCGGTGCCCCCACTTCTCAGCCTTATCCATCCCGGGAAAAGGCAGCTCCTGTTGCCCAGGCCACACGTTTGAGTCCTCTCAACTTCCCTCCTTTTGTCCCCTCTTCCCCCAAAGTCCACCCACCATGGGACCACTGTCCCCACCACCATTGCCACTATGCTGGCCCTGTCGTCACCGCCTCCTGCCTAGATTATTGCAAATGCTTCCACCTGGCCTCCCCACACCCCTGTGTCCCTGCAGTCTTGCCTCAGCACACAGAGCAACCCTGTCACACAGAGGCTGACTTATCCCTTTGCTGTTCCAAGTCCCCACGGCTCCCGGCTCATGCATGGACAGCCACAGCCCCTGCAATTGTGAGAGGTCAACATGACCTGGCCCTGCTCCCCCAGTGATGTCATCCCCCCTGCTTGGCCTGGCTCTTCTCCACCTCAGGCCCTCGCTGTCCCCCTCAGGGCCCCTGCCTCATTTCCTTCAGCATTTACTCAGATTCCGCCATCTTGGAGGCCCCCACATGACCATCCCCAACAACCTATTTAATTGCAACTTCCCGTCTTCTCCCTGCTTCATTTTCCTCTTTATCCTCTCCCTTTCTCTGTATTTTTTGTGTGTGTCCTGTTTGGTTTGCCTCTCCCATTCAAGTGTCCAGAATGTCCACTCCACAAAAACAGGGCACCGTGTCTGTGTGTCCATTCCTACATCCCCAGGGCCCAGCTTGGAGCCGACACAAAGCTGGCTCTTGTGGCGAGTGAAGGAACAACTCAGACAGCTATCCCACGCAGCATCGCTGGCCCTCACCCTGCCCAGTGATCGCTGCACATTTTAGCGGCTCCATCTGGACACTTACTGGGCACCAAACATGGAAGGGCACAGGTTAGCCCCAGGCAGGTCTATGGAAGGAGGAGCCACAGAGCAGAGTGTGCAGAGCTCAGGCACGCAGAACCATTCGAAATGAAGTCATGAGGCAGGCCAGTTCGCATCAAAGAGGAGAGAACTGGTGAAATGATGGATGGCCGGCCCAATGTCAAAGACACTGCACTCACAGGGACCTTGGGGACAGCCGTGTGGCCCTCGGGGTTTGCAGGGCTGACCCTCTCCATGGGATGCAGAAGTCAAACAGGAAGTGAAGGACGAAACAGTCCAGGAGTGGCCGAGCTGGGACTGCGGTCCTCTGGCACTGGCTATGCACGCTGGCAAGTCACCCGCCTCTCTGTACCTCAGTTTCCTCATCTGTAAACTGGGGTACTCGTGATGTTTATCTCATATGATTGCTGTGAGCATTAAGTGAGTATAGATAGGTATATGCATACATGTATCTGCATACACTCTGTATGTATACTGCACTGTAGACACATATTTGCATCTGTATCTATATCTGTCTACCTCTGGTTTAGAACAATGCCTGGCACGTAGTAAACGCCATAGAAGTACTTGCTCTTCATATTGTGCAAGCTTATAAAATTATGCTCCAAACTAATTAACAATAGATTCCTTCATCTTTCATTCTAAGAAGCTCACAGTTGCATATAGGTAGTTTTTTTCAAAATATAGGACAAAATGAATTCTTTGTCGATGAATCTTTATCCGTTTTCACAGTTGTTTCGTTTTTTAAAGACTGTTCCAATGTGGTCTGCCTTTAAGTGGATTCACGTCAGGTGACTATCCAGGTCCAATCATCCTGCGTCCGGCCAGGTGAATGGGGACTGCGGGGAAGTGTGTTCTAGGAGAGGGCAGAGCCAGGGGTGGGGGGCGTGCGGGGGCCAGTGTACGGAAGGTCCTCGAATGAGTGCCGAAGGCGGCCTCCATGGGGCTCACTGCTTCATCCATGTTTTCATCCACCTACGTTTATGTGAGTCACCATGGGCTGGAAATCAGCTGGACTTGGTGGAGGGTCCAAGGATGGTCCAAGGCTTCTGGGTCCTGACAAGAGAGAGAACAAGCAGGGGCTGCCCTTGCCGCCCCCTTTACCCCCAGCATTAACCTTAGAGACCCCTCGGGGGGGAGGACGCAAAACTGGTGCCCCAGTGTTGATGGACCTGGGAGGGTGGGGATGGTGGTGCTGAGGGGTGGGCACAGCTGCCAGGGCAAAGGGCAGAGGGCAGCCAGGGGAGGGGAGGGGGGGAGAGCATGGAAGTTCTGTTTGTGTCCCTGCCCCCATTTGCCTTGGGGGGCCCGTTTCTCTGCCCAGTCTGACAGCCTTGTTTCAGGGCGGGTCCCAGTCCTGCCTGGTGAGGAGCTGATGGAAACTGGGCATGGACGGATCCGTCTCCCTCAGACACCCCCCTCCTTGCTGCCTCCCTCTGCTCCCCAGGGCTCATGGGCTGTGGCCTGGAAAGCTACCTCCCCTGGGGCCGCCAGCATCTATGAGTTTAAGGAAAATTCTGGTGTAGCAACAGCACATAAAAGGGACCATCAGTAATTCTGTGGTTTTAGGGCACGTCCCTCTCTCTCGCCAACCCCCCCAGGGGGGACACAGACACCCAAGTCAGGGCCTGGGTGTTAGCTCCTCCCCCATTACCTGTCCCCAGATAGGGTGGCAACACCCCCAGGAGAAGAGGAGCCCACAGGCTGAAGGCAGATAGATCTAGGCCTGAGAGGTGGAGCCTCTTCTGTGGAGGCTATGCACTGAGGCACAGTTGCCCCACAAAGCAGAATTTTCAGGCAGATCTGGAATTTAAAATAAGTATAAGTGTTCTCAGCCAAGGGAGGGTATTAATAATATAAGGCAGAAATAAGGAGGCATGAAAAGAACCAAAGGGTGGAAAATATAAACATGGAAAGAAGGTTAATGACAGATGGGACCTGCACGCAGATGTGTTGGCAGGATGGCTTGCGGTGGGGAGCGGCTGGCACCTGTGGGCGCCTGTGATAGGGAGGGGTGAGTCACCTGGCACCTGTGGGGGGGGCACTTGGGATTCGGATGCAGAGGCCTAGATGTGCACACAGAATAGGAATTAATCTTTTTTGTTGTTGTTAAAGATTTTTATTGGGGAATCGGGGAAGGGGAACAGATAAGTTGCTGTCCTTTTGTTCTTCAGTCCAGTTGTGGAGGACATCACTTCACTGGCCCATATTGGTATTGTGATCATTGCACTCTTCCTGGGTGAGGCAGATAGGTCGCCGGCCATTGGACGGCTGCTCACGCCAGCTGCTGGCCACTCACGGCAGCTTACAGCAGCCCACTACAGCCCCACTGCAGCCTACACTGTCGCCGGCAACTCACGGCAGCCCAGCTCCAGGTCGAGCTGTTGCTCACCATCTTAGCTGTAGAGGGCGCAGTGTCAGTGGCCCATGTGGGATCTGAACCAGTGGCCCTGCTGCTCAGAGCTTACACTCCCAAGCCAACTCTTAACCAACTGAGCCACTCAGCTGGCCTCAAGAATTAATCTTAAGTCACTGTGCAGGGTGTAAGTAAGGAACCCAACAAGGCCAATAGAGTAATATTATTCACGTGAATTAAAATACAAAACGGTACTGCGTGTGGGCAGATGAGTAGATCACCAAAATGTGGTCCCTCCACACAATGGGTGTTATCCAGCCTTGAAAAGGAAGGGAATTCTGACGCCCACTACCCACGAACCAATCCTAAGACATTGTGCTGAGTGAAACAAGCCAGTCACAGAAGGACACTGTCTGATGCCACTTGTGGGAGGCTCTCAGGGGAGTCACATTCACAGAGACAGAAAGTAGGGTGGTGGGTGCTGGGCTGGGGGAGGGGGACGGGGAGTCAGGGTTTAATGGATGCCAAGTCTCAGTTTGGGAAGATGAAAAAGTTCTGGGGATGGATGGAGGTGACGGCTGCACAGCAAGGTGAATGCAATGAATGCCACTGAACTGTGCACTTAAAGATGGTTAAAATGGTAAATTTTATGTTAGGTACGTTTTGCCACAATAAAAAAAGGTTTTTGAATCTGATGAAGATAAACCATAAAACCCCAATGCTGTGTGTTCTACATGGTCACATACAAATAAAAGGGCACACAGTAAACTAGGACACTGAGGACATAAAAGAGAATAAACGGGCCGCAGTGCAGGGCAGTGGATAGCCCTCTGCCCAGTCCCGAGTCGGCACCCACACCCTCGCCCAGGAGTGAGCACACCCACTGGCCCTTTCAAACTCCAGTCCCCATGAACGCCTTTCCTGCTGTCTGGGGTTCTTCTTCTCTGCCTGTCCTGGCAGCCTGGAACCGAAAGCCCGCCTGTTCCAGCCTTGCGGCCACTTGGCCACACTGCCTTCCGCACCCAGGACCATGGACAGCGCACCCTCCTCTCTGCTGGCTGCCCCCCACCTGCGCTGGGCTCATGCACACAGTAGGTGCTCCGTGTGCTTTTGCTAACTGAGAATGAATGATGGACATCAAGAAGGGGGATCCTCTCTTGACCTGGAAAAGTCACAGAATGTTATCCACTCAGGGAACCCCAAACCTGGCAGGAGGGTAAAAACTCAGGAGTGTAACAATTGCCACTTTCTCAGTTTTTCAAGGACTAAACTTGGCTTTTATTGTAAACCTTGGTTCTGCCTGGTGACAGGGGCTTCATCTCAGCCAACACAGGGCCTCAAGCTATGGGACCGACCTAACCCTCTCTACATGGCCTCCTCCGTCACAGTTCTCTGCCGTGCGAGGCTCTCAGGGACATAGTCGCCCTGTGGTCACCAGCATGTGCTTGGTCACTGCTCCTGGGACCTGTGCAGCCTGGCCTTCTGGCCCCGACTTGGCCTTCGGAAAAGAAAAATGGAAAAGCCATTTGGATCCAGTAGCTAAAACGGGAGTTTGCCACAGCCCTTCCTTCCAGGCCTGTAATCCCATTTCCAACCCACTGTGACAGACAGATGGGGTGCCACCCACCCTTCATGAGCTTGCTGCCAAATTTTGATTGATGTGTGCAATTTTTGGAATGACTGAGTCCATCAGGATGCCCAAGTGCAAGGGTGCGTGAGGGCAGGCTGCACCTCACACAGGAAGGAGGTCAGAGCTGAGGCTGACATCAGGTGGCCCTGGTGGCTTTAAACAAGAGCACTGCCAGGACGGGAGGCCATGACGGGAGGACAGGCCGAGCCATGACTGCAGAACCAACTCTGGGCAGTCGCTGGGAGAGGCCGTCGTTCAAGGAGACCAAGTGGCTGGACAATCCCTTTAGGACAATGGCCTGGAACCCAGGGGGGCTGGGTGGCCACACCTCAGCCAGCTCCCACCCAGGAGGACATGTGATTGGCACGTGGGTGGTGCTGACCATGCTGCTCTCTCAGTGACCCCAGCGAGCTGACACGGCTGCCTGGCCACTTGGTGATGGAGGAGAAACTCTGTAGTCTCTGTGCTTGCCCAGCGTCCCCAGCGTGGCCAAGCCCTGACCCCACTCCCAGGGGTCAGGGAGGACACATTTCTGCCCTTTGAGGTTTTCATAGAGGGGAAGCAAGGTGTTACCTCCCACCAGGGTAGCTGATTCCCCCCAAATGAGAAGGCCGTTCTGATGTTAGACAGCTATACACAAAAATGACCAAGTGACCGCTCCGTTTCCATGGATATTTCTAGCCCCGGTGGGCCTCTCTTGTGCTGAGGAAGGATAATTGTAGACGACTGTAGTGCTGTGTTGATTTTTCTTGACTACCTTTGAGCATTCTTTCAGATTTATTGTCTTCAGAACTATTCTGTGAGCACAGAGAAGGTTCTTCAACTACCTTAGACAGACTTGTGCCCCTTGTTCTCAGAATATGAAAAGATATTTCTATTGTGAAACCAGGGCTAAATATCTACTCAGGCATTGGCTCTAATAAACTAAAGATTATTTTAACGAGGACAATGTGCTCGGCACAATTCTTGTACACGTGTCATAATGCGACACTGTTCAGCATTTTGTCCTTTACGGTAAATGTTCAGGTATGCAGACAGCTGTTTGGAGAATTGTCCATGAGTCAAGGTCGGCTGTGGTTTGGGCAAAATGGGCAGTGACATGCCAGGAGGGGCCCAGGTTTTCGCGTCTGTGGTTGGGCAACTTCACAATGGATGACCTGGATGATGAAACAGAGAGCATGCTTCTCAGAGTCACAGGTGGTCCCCACCGAGGCACCTTGGACACCAGCGTCCAAACTCAAGATGGCAGCACTCCTTGGTCCTGGATTGGAATTTTATGTCCAGTTGAACCCAAGAGTAACCCATGTGTAGGGGCTCCGTGAGGCCCACGTGGGACCGTGTTAGGGACAATTAGATGGTGGGTAACGGCCCAGAGGCAATAAGGACAAGGTAGCGATTTACCCTTCACGCCTGGCCTCCTTTTCCTAGACTAGGTAACCATGGTCAGGTTCCCCAAGGCCTGGCACACAGCAGATGGGAGCCCATGAAAGACAGTCCTGTCCTCCAGCCCCTGAAAACAGGCTAGCTTGTCATCTCTGGGCAATGGTCTGGCCTGGCGTCCCCGAAGGCCCCAGCTTGTGATTGTTTCCACCAGTTAGAGCCTCTCCACTTATGAGTACCTGCCACCGGCTGTCAGGGAGTCCTCTGGGACCGTGCAGGGGACCAGAAGTACAGCCCAGCCAGGGACTACAGGGTGCAGCTGCCCAA